TCTCCATTTCCAAGTGCAAAATCTTCTTTCTTCAGGATTCCTTTTTCTATGTGAAGTTTTTTGCATTTGTCTAAGCCAAACTCCATTTGTATGTCCTTAGTGTATGAGTGTGTGATTTGTAGGAGTTGATGAAGTTGTTTCTGTGTGGATGCATAAAGTTTTATGTCATCCATGTACATGAGATGTGACAGCGTAAACTGTGTTGTTTTTTCATATCTGATATTGTAGCCATAATGCATGTTGTTTAACAAGTTGGATAATGGGTTCAGGGCTAGGCAGAACCAGAGAGGACTCAAGGAATCTCCTTGAAAAATTCCTCGCCTAATGAATATCTCGTTTGTATGGAAGTGTTACTAACCCTGAGTTATTATTATTATTATTATTAAAGAGTAATTTTTATCTTGATTCTACAAAAATCCTTTAAAAGTTAAATAAGTGAATATCTGAATTTAAAATAATTAAATACAATAATAAATTTTTTAGGATATTATTTTAAAATGTTACAAATTATTCTAAATGAGAAACTTTTATTTATTTATTTATTTTAAAATTGTATCTTTGTTTTTCATATTAAAACTAAATATTTTAAAAATATTTACATGATAAATTTTTTATACCACAGCTATCAAATAATAAGCAAAAATTGTTCTATAGAACAATTTTTGCTTATTATTTGAATAAATATGAAAAAAGTTGGCAGTTATTACAATGATTACAAGAATTACAATGATTTGATATGTTAAGGAAGCTTCTCAAATGTAAATTCAATTCAAAATCTGTTATGAAAACACAAAAGTCATTAAGAGAAACTTGCATCTTCTCTTGATCTCTTGAAGAGGAGATGCAAGATTAAGTTACGCTAAATAATAATCTGACATTTCTTAATATTTATTTTTCTTGTTGACTACTGATGATGGGAGCATAGTTTGACTGTGCTTGAGGTTCATGAAAGGTTTTCATTCTTATAAAAGTAATTTGAATTGAATTACTTGTTTTTGTCATATAAAAATAGGAAATTTTAGAATGAATTATTTAAGTCATGTAAATTATTTTTGAATTTTCAATATTTAATTTAAATTGAATTTGTTATAATACAGTAATACCTTGACTTACGCTACCCTGACTTATGCGAACCCGGAGTTACGCGATTTTCAAATCTCGTTGATTCGCTTTTGTTTGAATGCCACGCAACTCTTGATTACTCACTCCCCCAACACTATTGTTTAGCTTACATGTTCAGACGTGTCGCGCGGAATTGAAACATAGCTACAATTTATTTTGTGTTATTTATTTCTGTGTTTGTTATATCTACAGAGACATGAGAGACTCTATGTGGTGATTTCTTGTAACTATGAACGAATCAACAGACGAGATAAGATTAACGAGAACATTTATTAGCATACATACATCCAACTTTGAGTTTACACAAATTGCGAAATTATACCCCGACTTATGCGGTTATCACTTGGTCCCACCTATCACGTAAGTTCAGGGTATTACTGTATTAATTTGTTAAGTTTTCATCAAGCATGATATTGATATATACACACACATGCACACAAATTTCAATTTCTTAATGAAATGTATTATTTGTTAGTAATTCTTATATATATAATTAACAATTTAAGATTATTATATTAAAAAAAATTGAAAAAAATCAGATTATATGAATTATGTAAGATTCTTCATTATTGTAAGAAAAGTTTCATTATTTCACTTAAATTTTATAAAAATATTTTACAGAACAAAAAATTGAGAACAATACAATTTTAGTAATTAATAATTAATATTTTGTATTTTATAACTTTTTCTATAATATGTTTATGCAAAAATATATTCATTTATAAGTTTTATTTTCATCAAATTATGTCTTTTTAAAGTACAATGCAGTAAAGTAAAATTGACAAAGTTTAATTGTATTAAAAGATGTAATTTTTATGTTTATAATTATAAATATTTTTAAATTCTTAGACTTTAGATTTGACAAAACATCTATTACTATATGAAGGTATACTTACGTGGCGTTTAAACAAACAGAAGTCAATTGAAGTGCATGTAATTTTATTAGAAGATATCCTTGTTTTACTACAAAAACAAGAGGAAAAATATTTTTTAAGGTTTCACAACACTAATATTCTTAGTGGTCGTGAAGATACTAAAGTTGCTCATAGTCCAATTTTGAAACTGCCTCACTTGTTTACTCGTGATGTTGCGACAGGTAATTATTTCTCCTTTAAATGTTGTGATAATATTTTAATAGTTTATAAAATCTATTTGTTCTAATTAATTAGATTTACAGTACACTCTCAGTTAACTGGCAGCCATAGGAATTGTTACATGCCAAATAAATATAGTTTTTGTTTGCTTAAGAGTTACTGTTAAAAATAGGCATAACTAATACTGCATTTCATACTGCACGTACCATGTGTGGGATATGCGAAGATCCGTAAGGTTAATATTCACAGGAGTGAATGAAGTGGATTACCACAAGGAGAGACAAGCACAAGAGATACTTAAAAACTAACTTTTTATGTACAAAAAATGTATATACAATATCCCCAAAACCTATGATACATGGCACATGGCAGTTCAATAAAGAATCCTTTGGCAAAGAACAATCAAACAAGTCTGAGAAACAGGCTGAAAATATTCACTCGGTGATATTCTATACCGGCTAATATTTCACTTATACAAAGTTTGTATCATGTTTCGCTATTCCTTTCACCGATGGAAACGGATTGTAAAACCACAAATCTCCACCACAACAAACGAAGAGAACAGTTCACCATACACAGCTACAATGGGACGACACACTCCCACAAGCTTAGCACTAGGAACCAGAATGCCCAGTTGCCGGTCCTGCACACCATATATCACCTCCACTGCCGACACAGTGCTGGCATACAAAAAATGCCCAAAACACACAAAAAAAAAAAAAAACATTGACAGTAGACAAAATATATATATACACTAAAAGATTAAACAGAAGCAAAAGAAAACAAATTTTTTTACAAGACAACAAAGACCGACAATATAAACAAAGACGACACACGTGCCATAAACTTTGTATTGACCTAGATATTAATATTGAAATACAGTAATTAAAAGTAAATTAAAACAAATAAAGATAACTTAATGTAACACAGTTTTATTATAAAAACATCTTTGTCAATGTAGTATGCAATTTTAGTTAAATGGTAGTCAATAAACTTGTGAAATAAACTTGTGGCATGTGAACCCTGGACTTACTTGTGGCATGGTATGCCAAGTTTAAACTTACCTTTCCACTAGAAATTGATTTTATTTTAATTTTTATTTAAACTATTATTTCTTTAATTTTTTTGTCAGTTGCTTGAGTTCCAGTTAACAGAGAGTCTACTGTATTATTTAAAAATACATTAAATAAAGAATTTTATATAAAAAATTTGCTTTCTAGAAGCTCACATTGATGAAGAGCTATTGAAATGCCATCAGTAAGACAGTAATATTGTGAACTAAAATTGATGATTGTAATACATGCATTGTTTTAGTGACTATTGTTCTGTAAATAAATTTAAAAACCTTCAGCATGGTTTTCAGTTTTTCAAAAATTATTCTTTACATTGCACGTTGTTATACTGTTTTTATGTAGAATTTATTAAGTTTTGCACATAGAATTTAGAAAGAACATGTATATTCTTTTTATATTCTACATATGTTCTACATTATATATAATTATATTCATTTTTATAACTGAAGTATCTTAATAATTTAAGTGAAATATTTTACATTTTAATAATATTATATTGTAAATATTATTATTAATACAGTACATAAGAAAATACAATTTAAATGCAATATTTGTGCCAAAACGTTAAAATGTTGTGTGTGTAAATAGTTTTGAATTCTTTTCCAGCTTGAAATTTTTTTTTTGAATATGAAAATGTACATGTTTTTCTAATTAGAAAAAAATGACACATGCTTTCTGTTGCTGTTAATGTCACATATAGATATTATAAACAGAGGTGCTTTTGTACCATATATCTATTTTTATTCTATATACAATTCTATATAATCAAGTTTTGACTTGATCATGTTTAATGTTATTTGATTGATGTTTCAAATTCTCTAAATGTTTTTATTTGGTTTTTTTTTTCAATGGCTGGATACACATTCCTAATTTTTGCCCCAGAGCCTCAATGAGTTTTAAGCATGCCAATTATTAGATATTCCATTGTCAATTACCATTACAATAAACTTCTTGGATCACCAGACTAGAGAACTTTTTGTTGTGCTTTATAAAAACACAACAAAAAGTTTGGAACTGAGATGATTCAAGTAGTATGGCATTGGATTATTACACAAGAAAGTAGAGATTTATTCATTAGTGAGTATCAGATTTTTCTTCAACACTTATTTTGTACTTTATGGAACTCATGCCATACTACTTTAAAAGAATATATTTGGAGACAAACCTAAGAGATAATATAAAAAATAAATAATGAGACTCTTTTTAAATTTAGAAGCAAGTTACTATTTGCTTAGTAGGCATAACAAAGTTGTCTGAAAGACAATGTGATTTGGTCTTCCACTTGGAAGGATCGGTTTATCTGGAGGGGATCAGCTCAGCAGGAGGCATATTAGCAGGATTGGCAGGAGTCCCAAATAGGGGCAGACCTAAAGGTACGCTACTTGCCCAGCTCAGGATTGGACAATTGTTAGGCCTGGAGAATCCCTTAAAAGGAGGGATGACAATTGAAGAGAGTTGGTTTGTCTGGACCATCAGCAAGATGAAAGAGCATTACAGCAATAACCTCATCTGGACTTTTGAAAAAGAGGGCTTCAAAATGAAGAGCTTCTGCCAGTCTGTGAGAGGGAGCAAGAGAAAAGAACTAACCTTAAGTTTGAGTTGTAAGGTGCATTTCTGGAAAACCATGGCCTTCAATCATAAGCAGGAGGAGATCATCAGATCAAGACTTCTTTGGACTTCTTTGGACAGGATACAATTTGAACTTTATTCTTTATTAGTCTTTTCTTCTTCTTTAATGCTGCTGAATGGCGTTTGCGACTTCATTTTGATATTGTTCTCTGTCTAGCACTGTGT